ACAGGGTGGCAGTCAATGGTTAAGTCTATAGAACACAGGTTAAAAACTACTTCTCTCAATTCTGTTATATAGGCCAGTTGTCAATATATAAAGTCTCCTACTGGCTTATGGAGAAGTTTGTCTTAATTTAATCTCTGTCTTCAGAATGAATAATTATTTTCTTTCACCTTGCTCCCCAGTATACCACTTTCTAGCTCAAAATGCACATTCAATAAATATTTTGGTCCCCCAATCTGCCCTCACCTACTAATTCAACAAACCTTCTAGGACACAGTCTTTGGTAAAAAGCCACACTTCTCCACCATGTTCCAGAGGATAGAAGAAGAAAACTCACCTAATGCCCTGACAATTCGCATCAGGACTTCCCCAACTTTCATTCTGGTTTCTGGTGTGTATTTCTCTTTGCTGCTGTCATACTGAGCCAGGAGATCCACCAAAATTTTCTCAGGGTACACATCTGAGAGCAGGGCAACTCCTGGGGTTTGAAACAAAAATAAAACAATTTATTATTATTTAGGATTGAAAGGCAAATAAACCCAGACATCCAGTGATGAGATGCAGGTACATTTAAACCCACCTACTACAAAGGGCTGTCCTTTATTTGGAGAGACAACAAGGGATGACTCTGGGAATTCAGACTCCTAGATTCATCTCATCCCAGCCCAGTCTCGAAGGTTCCTCTCTCAGTATGGATATTCTATGTTCTATGGGTTACAGACTCCTGAAGCAGAGGCCAGAGGACTATGTATCACAGAGGGATTCAGCAGCAGGAGACCACTAGGGATCTCCCCAATTCTGAGGCTCTAGGGTTGGATGACTTGTACTATCACTGATAACATATCAGTCTAAAGCCTAGAGTGCTTCCTGTCTTTGCTATAGTTTTCCATTTCAGTGTAATTTCTCTCTGTCAATGATGAGAGCAATTTCCACAAGGAAACTTTCAGAGCATTCAAGCTGAGTTCCCTGATGAACAGAAACAGGAAAGATACTGCCCTTGAGTCCCCCTTTCTAGGATTCCTTCTCCTAACCCTGCCAGGGCTTGCTCAGTGTATAACCTCCAACAGTGCTATCATATCTGAGCCCAGCCCCATACTGAGCAAGCTCTTCAGGGATGGAATAAGGGAGTTATAACCTCAGGCAGGACCAAAATAAAGCCCCTTGTCTTCAGACTATAGAAAAACAAACTCTATTACTGGAGGGTGGGGGGGGGGAGCTTTCATCCCTCTAAAGAACAGTGAGAAAAAAAATAGGAAATAGAAATTTCACAATAAAAATATATCTAGGATGAGAATGCTTCTCACCACTTCTGCCTCAATCACTTTCATCCCTAGTGTCTAGTCTGGATTTTCTCAATAATCCCTTAATTGGACTCCCCTGTATCTACCCTTTTCCCTCATTGCAGTTGGAACAATTTGACTTAAGGCACAAGAGGAGCCCTTAATCTTCTGCCCAAATCCCACAATGGTTTTCTTCTCCCCAACACAGAGCAGCTCCCCATCCCCCCACTGCCTTGGTTCTCTCTCCAACCCCCTCTTTGACCTACTCTCCCCTCCTGCACACTGTTCTCAGCTCTGGCTGCTATGCTTTTCTTCAAGGAGACCAAGCTGCCCCTGGCTCAGACCCCAACCCTGCTGCTCCATCTCCAGGAAGCCTCACAGCTGCTCCTGAACTCCTATCATGTCTCCGTGCACATATCATATCTACCAAATACAAAGTGGCAGCCTCCTTCACCTGCCACTCTTTATCCCTCTCACCCTGCTTCATTTTCTTCTTGGCACATAATATTACCTGACAGGTCATATATTTCCTTATTTATTGTCTGTTCTCCTCCCCGGAATGTGAACTCTATAAAAGTCAAGGGATTTTGTTTTGTTTCCTGCTGTGTCCCCTATGCCTACTAGAGTGCCAACACACAGCAGGTGCTCAATAACCATTTGTTAAAGAGTCAATGAATGAATGGATGAGTAAAAGGGGCTCAAAGACACAGTCGATACAAATTTGAGGGATTTAAAAAGAGAGGGATGATAAGGGAGTAATAAATGTTTGAGAAATCCATAATTAATTTTCATCTGAGTTTACCATTCCCCAGTTTAAACTGATAATCTCACAACAACATTTTCTAAAGTATGGTTGTGATTGCATTCTTTTAAAAATCATGGCTCTCTCTTCACCCCCCCCCCCGCATCTGGTGGGCCATGAAGGCAGTGCACCTGCTGAGGGTTGCACCTGTCCGACCATCCTCTTTTCTGTCCTCCCAACCCCTACCTTTTTTTTGCTTCCAAAGAACCAGGGAAGCCTCTGCACATGGCCCTAAGCTACACCTTCCTGCATGTGGGCTCCAATTTTACACAAGGGGTACCCGGCTCTTAAGGGAGTTTCAGATTGTGGCCCAACTTGAAATACACAGCTCCCTGTTGGTAATATGTGACACTAGCTGTAGTTCACTCTATTCGTAAAGTGATAGAGAAGTCCTTGCAGGTTTAAGGAGGAGTTAGGAAATATTCTAGCATAGGAAAACAATCTGTGACTTAAAAGAAAGTGAGAAAGAGAAAGGAAACAACTTCTAAGTCCTAAAAGAGCCCCCAAAGAAAAGTGAATTGGTAGGTGGTAACTTCAATTCTGGCACTGATGTATTACAAGGACTAGTGTATAGAGATCATGAATGTAGCTATTATAACCACTTTTTCATTAGAAGTTCCCAACTCAGAGATATGCTGGATCTGTTTCCTTTTAAGAATGTAGTCTGAACTTTGTAATGGAAAACAGTGGGAAAATGGAATTTGCTGTATAAAACTTTGATCTATATCCAGCTTTTCTGAAACTCATTTATTATTAAAGTCCTCCCACTGTTGTTTATTCCTATATTCTCTCATTAGTCATTGACACAAAACAGTTATTTAGTTCTATGCACCTATCATCCTGGTCAAATTAGCCCTGCTGTCCTCTCTGCAGTGGACAGATATGTGGCGGTGCACAGCCTCTACTTTCTTCTGGCAATCAGACACTGGTGTTTCTTTGAAAACATATGGCTCTTCTCCTCTCAGTTTGCTTGGTTTCAGTGGGCTCACTACTCACTTTTTCTTCCTCCCTCCCCACACTGGTGAATTATGATATTCTATGCTACCCCAACCTTGATGATTGGTTCAGGAATGGCCAAATAAGACTTGATCCTGGAACCCCTTTGAAAAAACTCTAGGAGAGGGGCTGGAGTTGTGGCTCAGTGGTAGAGTGCTCACCTAGCATGCATGAGGCACTGGTTCAATCCTTAGCACCACATAAAAATAAAATAAAGATATTGTGTTCACCTAAAACTAAAAAATAATAAAAGAAAAAGAAAGGAGAGACAAGCTTCCTTCACCACACCCCCGCTGACATTAACCTGCAGTTGTCAGTGACTACCAGGTGGAGGAAGCCCACCAAGAATGACTCCATCACAGAAAGTCAAGCCATGGGAGAAGGCAAGCTTTGGGCACTGGGATCCAACTATATTTTTACCCACTAGACTTTTTTTTTTTAATATATATATATGCTTTTATTGTCCCCCCCCCAAAGGAATTCCAACATACTCCTCTTGCATTTTTTTTTTTTTTTACAATGGTAACCTTTAAACTCTACCAAGGAGCTATAAGTCTTCCCATTCTTATATAAAGATTGGCAATGGCAAAGCACAGTTTCCCTGTTTCCCACAGTCCTGGGTATGTCAGCCATTGTTTTTCTTCCTGCTGCCTGCTCCACAGACTGCTGCCAATGGCTCTCTGACTGCTGAGTTTTACCTTCTAGGATACGGTTGCTACCTAAAAGTTTATGACTCCTTGGAGGATAAGAGCAGTTCCCGTTTTACTCACATGCGAAAAGAATCATATATGATGGTTAAGACCAAATGACAATGACAGAGAGGAGACTTTTTGTGGTTGTTTTTGTTTCTTATTAGAAGGATTTTCTAACATTGACATGCTGAGGTCACTGTCATAACCTTCACATGACACTTGATCCCTCACACTCGATAATTCCTTTGTAATCTGAAAATGGGGTAACTTCTGGGTCAGCACAGACTTCAAGAAAACATGACACATCAATCCCTTTGACAATAAGAACCAAAAGATCATGTGAGAGATACCTCTCCCTGCTCTGATCACAGAAAAATTACTTTGCATTTCAGGATGTGTATAACAGATAAGATATACAAAAGGCAAAGGTGAACTCAAACTGACAAGAGTTCATGAAAGCTCTCTAATCCATGTTTTGGGGGAACTGCATAGCACAGAGGTGAACTAACTCAACTAAAAAAAATATTACTGAAAGTGCCTCTTATAATAAAACAGAAACAGTTAACTTTGCAAAATAATGAGCCCCCTGCCAGCCAAAGACTTTCATTACAAAACTAAAAATGTATTTTTTTTTTTTTTTTTTGAACTGGGTGGTTGAACCGGGGCTTTGCGAATGCAAGGCAGACGATTTGCCACTGAGCTCATCTCAACCCATAGAAATGTATTTATTTATTTATTTTTGTGGTGCTAGGGATTGAACCCAGGGCCTTGTGCATGCAAAGTAAGCATTCTACCAACTAAGCTGTATCCCCAGCCTCTAGAAATGTATTTTTGATGGGAACAAAGTAGAAGTCCTTTATCAATAGAAGGAGTTTAGGTACGATCTCACTTGATATAGTGCTCTTACATTATAGGAAAGATGGTCTAATTCTAAATATTTCTGCTGACTGGCTCTATCAAGGAACCTGCTAAGCCATCTCTACTTTGAAACTAACCTTCATCATTTTTCCTGGACAGATAACTTCCTAAAATACCCACTCAAACTGGAAAACTACCTATGCAATTGAACCTATTAGGTATTTTTGCCAATAAACCATAAGAAACATAAAATGTCATGTATTATGTGATTCTCTTTACATGAAATGACCAGATTAGGCAAAACTATATAGAGAGTAAATAGATTTAGTGGTTATGTAGGGCTGTAGGAGTTGGGAAGAAATGAGGAGCAACTGCTAATGGATATGAAGTTTCTTTGGGGGATGATAAAGAAATTCCAAAATTGACTGTCAAAATGGTTACATATTCTGTGAATATACTAAAACCCACTGAACTTTACACTTTAAATGAATGAACTGTATAGCATGTGAATTATGTCTCAAAAAGTTGTAATATACATGTACTGAAACATCACATGGTACCCCATAAATCTGTACTCTTATGTTTTTTGTTTTCGTGGTACTGGGGGACTAAATCCAGGGTTTGGCAAACACTGGCAAATGCTCTGCCACTGAGCTACATCCTTAGCCCACAATCTTATGTTTTTATTTATCAGTTAAAAATAATAAATTTAAACTTTTGGGTTATTATAAAAATGATATTAAGGTCATATCTCACTCTTGAGATGGTCCACATTGTTCCTGGAATTTGTATCTATCTTCTAAATAAATCTATCTTTTGAAAAAAGAAAAAATGATAAGAAAATATTTCA